TTGAAAAGATATAAATCACATAGAAGAATACCTGATAATATTATGGAAGAAATTGATAGAAATAATGAGTAAAAATCCTTTATCACGTGATTTATTTTTTTAACTGTATTTTTGTAATGAAAGTAATTAAAAAAAAATTGAAAATTTTTCTTGAATTTGATACATTGGCGCAGTAATTTGATGGCTTATGATGTTATGCACTGTACAAATTCTTATTTGTTCTATTTTTTTTTTATTTGTTTTTATTTGTATTTGTTTATTCGGATTATTCGTTTTATTCTTTTATTTAAATTCGAATTATTCGTTTTATTCTTTTATTCAAATTCGAATTATTCGTTTCATTCTTTTATTCAAATTCGAATTATTCGTTTTATTCTTTTATTTGTTTATCCAAATAAACTCACATTGCTGCATTGTAATTCAAATACTCTAATTCATAACAATTCGAATAAACCTTATACGATAAATGATTGAGTCGTATGATTTTATAATATTGTGACATCATCGCTATTTTTGGATTTTGAAAATTTGGCACTCGACGCAGCATTTGATGGGTGCGCACTATATCTATCAAAAAAATTTTCGTCCAAGCCGTTTTTGCACTATTTCAATCTTCAATGGAAATTGTGGGTATAAAAATCAAACTTTTTTAAATATAATTATTACGCATAATACTGGAATTTACAAAATAATGGCTCGTATTTTTTTTATGGCATAATGTCCGATTTTTTCTCAGCTGATTCTCTACTAAAATGTGTTATCCAATTTTTATCTTGACAGACTCATTTGCATCCAACTCTTCTGCTTCCACCATTTGTTTTAGATCGGAAAGTATTGTTTCAGAAGTGAATCTATTCTTCTCGTCTACATTTTCTGACAAAAATAGACTTTTAGAAGTTGTTTTACTTGCTCAGACATGTATTTGCTTCTATACACTTTCCAATATTTTGCTTATCACAAAATCCCAACCCAGTTCAAATTGTTTCATTCCAAAAATTTCAAAATTTGTTAGTTTAACATCTAGAAAATATTTATTATAATAACATTTTTCCTATTTACGGTTCACCCTCTCTGTAATGGACCATTTGGATTACTGTTATAGACAATAATAATGAGTTAGCTTAAACTCTCGGTCCATTTTTATTACAGAACGATTCATTATAGAGAGTGTGAACTGTGCCTTATATATTTTCTAACTGCTTCATCTTCATTCCCGGATAGATATCATTACATGGCGTTTTTCGTTTTCTACATTTCAATTAATATGGATGGTACATTTTTTAATACTGAACCTTGAAAATGAATCTCTACATAAATCTTCATAGGAAGATAAAAAAAAGATTTATATACTCTAATCTGCCTTCATAATGTAAATGAATCTAATGAAATTAAATTTACAAAAAAAAAAATAATAATAACAATACATACAGTCCCTGGACACAGGGTTGGCAAATGTATAACGTTTTAGCCATATTTAGTAATTTATTAATGCAATGGACCGGTCCAAAGTCCATCAGCTCCCAATGGACCAGTCAATTTGCCAACTCTGCCTGGACAAAATTATCGGAACACTTGCTTTTGTTGACTGCGCAAAAATATACATAATAAACATATATGAAATTTATATCATTTGCGGTTTAGTTCTTGTGAATATCTATGCAAAAGCCCACGCATCTAAGTTCTGTAGAAATTGAATAAATATATAAAAATGAAATTTGATTAAAAAGTTTTCACTAAATCTCTGACGCGAAATTTTTTATTTTATTCTCAAATTCTATGTAACGATTTTTAATTTAAAATTTTAACTATTTTTAATATTTAGTTGGGTATCCTTTGCTCTTTATACAAGCCTGAATTCTATTAGGCATGCTTTCAATCAAATTCATTAAAAATTTTTGAGGAATTTTATTCCATTCCTCTTTTAAAGTAGCCTCAAGTTTAAGATTTCTTAGATTGTTGGACGACTTCTAATACGATATACTGTTGTGGTGGGAAGCCAAGTATTTTAGAAATAATTCTATATGAGGCTCCACCACTTTTATAAAGGCCAACTATTTGTCCGTGTTGAGCTTCAGTTAAATTAGAATTTTTTTTTTGAAATTTAAAATTTTGAAAACTTTTTAAAATTTTTTTTAAAAAAAAGTTCTTAAAAAATATGTAATAAAAAATAATTTTTCAGAATCACCAAACTTGGGTTTTCATATACAAAGTTTCCAAAACATATTACTATGTAGGTTCTTGGACAATTTCTAAAAACATCATGTCAAAAATTTTTGATTGTCAAATTTAATCGAATTGGAATATCCTATATTTATTTGAGTTCTGCGAAACTTAGATGTATGGGATTTTCCATAGATATTCACAAGAACCTAAACCGCAAATGATATAAATTTCATATATGTTTATTATGTATATTTTTGCGCAATCAACAAAAGCAAGCGTTCCGATACTTTTGTCCAGGTACTGTATGTATAAAAATTGCATTATTTAAAGAACAACCAACTTCTGTATTATATGCTATGTAGAAGTACTAATATTGACCGGCCTATGTGCGTTTCAAACAGAAACCGTTTTATTTTATTATTACCGCTATTTACTATTACGCACAGTTTGTATGTAAAAGTTGCTCTAAATACCTACCAATGTGAGTTTTAAATTAACGCATTTTATGAATATTAGAATCCTTTCATCAAAAGTCAACGAAATAATTTTTTATTCATTCTATTTACCCAAAATATAATATTTTTTTGGAAGGTTTTCCAAAGTTACAATTATGAGGTAATATTTTTTACTATGAACTATTCCCCCGATCTTTTATTTTCATCTATCGCTCTACTGAATAAAATATATTAACAGAAAATTATTCAGATACGTATAAATTTATATCACTATTTGTTATTAATAATCATAATCATTATTATCATTATTATCATTATCATTATTATCAATTATTATTATTATTATTATTATTATTATTATTTCGATTTCTTTGATTTCATGATGATTTGTCACTTTTGGTGGCGAAACTTGTGTGTTATCTTATTGCAAAAGGTCCAAAAATATCAAGGTGATATCTAATGCTAATGCATTTTACAATAATTTACTTAAATAACTGTTCAAATCAAACTAGAAAGCGAGTTCTAAATATGCAAAGAAACCAGTAGAGCAGTGAAAAGACTGCATGAAAGCCAAATGTAATTGTCTATTTATCTTGTTCATCTTGATTATTTTATTCTTCTTGGATATAAATTTTTGCGCAAAATTATTTTTTCTTTTCATTTCAACCATATTTAATAACGGATTAATGATATTATTGAAATAACGATAATCCATGACAACATCTCATTTGTGGATTTTCACCTAGAAAAACCAAAACTAAGCATGTATTGAAAGGTACATGTGCGAAATCTGAATAAATAATAACTTGTTACTAGAATAAAAAATGCATGTTTAATATTAATAAATTGTTTGCTCGTTTTAATTTTGTATTTATACCTTTGATCTTTTTCAGGTTAGCTGTGGCTTCAATTTCCTTATTTCTTCTAAATCTTTTTCATTTTCTTATTTTCCTTCAAAGTCCATATTGTCTGCTTTTGTTTCCAATTTGTCATAAATTAACACAATTATCGTATATATATATGAAATTTACAACACCATCTTCCAATTAGTATTAGGCTCGATATTACTTCAAAGAGACAAAAAATATGTATAATTTGTAGTAAACTTTACAGAAACTGATTCGAAGCATGTGGCTTTCAATTCCTTGGAGAAAGAAAGATAACCAAATAGTGGTAAAAATAATGGTAACAGGGTATCAAGTAAGCCATCCTCCCGAAAACTGTAGGTGCTGCTTTAGTGACAACGAACAATATTAAGATTTTTTTTTCATGATTCGATGATTTCAAGTTCGTTAAAATCGGCATTACATTCTACCACTGAAAAAGAAACAGAATTAAATTGGAATTAAAATAATAAAAAACTATATATACAATATAAGATTTGAATTAAAAGCGTTGTATAGCGTTAAACATTGAACAATAAATATTAAACATTGAACATTTAGCATTTAATATCAAGCAAATCAAATATTTTGTTAAATCACAATTTCAGAAGCATGAAAAGGATCGTCATCACAAAAATTTTTAAGATTTTACATCATAAAAATTGTAACGAGAAGCTTGTTATAGCGTGTTTTTACTTAGTGAATGTTATATAGAAAGGCTCGTTATATAGAGAGCTGTAAGATGAAAACAACCCATTGAAAAATCCCATGATGAAGTCTTTTGTCGGAAGATAAAATATGATTTTTAAAATCCCAGCAAATTTAACAAATTTATATTGATCTACTTTCCTAAAATGTACCCTTTTTAAAAAAACCAGTCCTCCTATAACCCCACTTTTACTCGCGCGACGTGTCGTCATTAAAAAAAAAATGAAAATGCATTATTATCCTTTGGCTTCTCTTACAACTGATGATTCTTTGAAACAGTTTAAATATACAGTTTTTGAAGATTTCGTCATAAGAACCTTTGTGGATGAAAATGTCAAATATTCAGTTGTAGTTGAATATTTTTCCGTTGACAGAAATTCTCAACAATTAAGTTGGCTTAAACATGGTGAAACCAAAATTTCATTGCCAGTAAGTAAATTTTTTTTTCCCAAGCTATATTGCAAATCACATAATATAAAATAATAAAATAATACTTTATAAATAAAATTTTAGTATGAACGATTTAATTTTAATTTTGTTGTTATTTCATTGTTTACTACAAGCGACATTGAATTTGCAATGTAAAAAACAAATATAATTTCATACTTTGATCAAAACATTTTTATCCTTCTCTAAGTATTTTTTCTTTTTTCTTGAAATAAAAAGAAATTCTCCTTATTTGTTAATTAGTGATTCAAATAAGACTTATTTCCAATTACATCAAATTGGGAATGAAGCAGAATATTGGGAAATTCAATTGGAAAATTCTGAACTATCACCCAAAAAATCATTTTATGGCAAGTCATTTTCAATTAATTATTTGATGGATTGATTATTTATTTCAAAAATAAATAATCACAAGTAATCATAAAAAAATTATCATTCATAGATGTTATCATTTTGGATGGTCCCAGTATTATATTTGTATACCATGACATTTCAACAAATCATTCTGACATTTTTGATTCATTTGAGGCAAATTACAACACTTACATAGTTTTATGGCAACCAAAATTATCTTGTAATGACAAGTACATACTAGAATTGTCAACAAAACATGTCTATGGTTTCACACTACCACACAATCATTATGATGACTTGTATAAGTCATTAAGTGTAATTTATAGCCCATTGTTCAATGATTACATTAAAGCATGTTTATTTGAAAGTCCTGATAAATCAGAATCTACTTTTTTACCAACAATTCCCGAGTGTTATCTGAGAATCATGACCTGTTTGTCGTTTTCTGATGAAATAACCAATGAAGAAATTGTTTGGCTAGGCACTTCTCAAAATCAAGTTATATGTTTCAAAAATAATAATAATCAGCAATACATAAGTCCAAAATGGTGTGTGGATGTCATCAGTGTGCCTAAAAAGATGTAAGTTACATTTTCAATTAATTTAGATTTTCATTATTGTAAGTAAAAAATTCTTTCTTTGCAATTTTAATAATTTTATAGAACTGAAGTCAAGATAAATGTATCGACTATAAATACAGATTTCATTGCATTAATTATCCAATTGGAAAATGATAATCTAATAATTATGAATTCTGAAAATGGGATGATCTTGCATGGTAAAATTATTAATTGATCGATTGATTGTGTGATTCTTTTTTACTATTAACAATTAATATGTATTTATGAAATTTTAGAATTTTTTGGTGATCAAACTTTGACCAATAAAATCTTCTTTGGCATCTTCTTGGTTTATTGGTGTTTTTTGTATGAGTGGAATCAACCCAGAAATAAATTTCCTGGGATATTTTTTATTTTTGGAAGGTTGATTACAATGAGGAAGAAACAAATCATTAAATTCATGGATCA